ATAACTAGTAATTCAGTTATAGGGTTATTTTTTATATAATTTTTTATATAATTTATTATCGGTTCTATAAAAATCTTAAGTGTGATATATAAATACACAACTTCGAAAAATTCGATGAAATGAAATTACGGCATTTAGAAATTTGTTAAATTGTCTTTTATTTTTTGAAAGTAGGTATTGTTGAATATTTTATCAAGAAATCTCACTAATGTTCTACTAAAGTCAAATTAATGTACCTATGTTTCAACGTTTTTTATTTTGTATCGTATTTTTTATCTGTGTGTGACATTACATTACATTGCATAGTCTTCTCGGTCTGCACTTCGCCTTTGGCTGTTGATTAATATATTCACCTTAATGATATGAGAATATTTAAGGGTGTGATTCTAAATGGAATATGTCCAAAAATGTTCCATTGCGAAAATACGGTGTTAAAATTTTAAGAAAAAGAAAGAAATTAATTAATATTTTCGAAACCGCTTGAGATATTTCAGTGATATTTAGTAAGTAGTGATAGTAAATAAAGGCGCATGTTTTTCAATTCAAATATAATTTTTAGCTCTAATAATATTTTTTTCCCACCCGCACAAACTTTATGGGAAATGGCTCCCGGTTAAATTGGCTGAATTTTTTATATGTTACGTATATGTTACGTATCTCGGCATCCTGAACAAATGTCTTCATGGGCGCGAAGCCCAAAACTCTACGAATTCCGAGATAAACCCACCTAACCCCTAGAAACCTACCAAACCACAAGCAGGCTAACTCACGTAACCCTAGGAACAGCGAGTTTAATCGCTTATTTTTCTTGAAATAATTAAATCCCACACCACAAACATGCTAGCTCGCCTACCCCCTAACTTTCCTAGGGGTTGATATGGTATACGGGGGCCTTCGCTGAGCCAGTGGCTACGCACTCAGCGAGAACCCTTTTCTGAACGCAAACGCGACGCGCTTCTTCAGCCACCTCAGTCCTCACGGGGACCGACCGGACGTAACCCCGACCTACGTCGCACAGTGTGCCCATTTGGACAAAATTTTGCCGACAGTACAAGACTAAACCGATTTTCATGAAAATTTTTTTGCATGTTTGTTATACCTTGAAAAATGACCAATGGGTGCGATAAATTTACTTTGTGACCTTTTGACCTTGATAAAATTCGAATTCATGAGACATCCATCCTGTTATGCATAAAATACGTTTTAAAAATAACTTCACAGACATTTTGGACCATACAATGCTCACGAAAAATTGTTCAAAGTTTTTTTCTGAGTTCTTATTATCTTTGTGACTTCAAGCCATATCACCAAGGTCATTTGAAGGTCAAAGGCGTATTTTATAGGCTAAATACTGTATATTCATAAGATAAGGATTCATCAAAAATTATTATGAAACGATATGAGTATCAGCCAGCAGCGACTCTACGTTCTTGCCTCAACATCCTGTATATATACAGGGTGGGCCATTAGTGTGAGAAAGTAAAATAACTCTCTTGTTACTCATAATACAGAAAAAAAGTTTATAAAAGTTATACAGAATGAAGAAAGCTAAACTACAAAATTAATTTGATACATACAGGGAGATGAGTAAAAACGGGACACGTCAAATATTACATTTTTTAAATGAACACCCTATATATATTTAAACATATGGATTTCCGAGAAAATTCTATATCTGGCAATATAAACAGTTTATCATTTTAGTGAGAGGTTGCCAAGTTATGTAGAAAATTTTTCGATTTTGGAAAAAAGTATGACCTCGAAGAAGTTGTATTAACTTTCAGCTACTAACACTGGGAACAAAATAATTAGTTAATGTCGATATTTTATACAGGGCATTTTTTATAATACGATCATTTTTAGAAAGTTTAAACAAGGCACATATCGGTCTACTTCAACGTTTATTAAGCATGTTCTATATCTAAAATTGTTAGTTTTTAAGAAAATTTCTGAAAAAAACACGTTTTTATTATTTTATAGAATACCACAAATAAATATTAACTAATAAAATTAACTCAAAATGGAATGATAAATTATGAACTGACAAGTTGACACAATGTGATTGTTTTTTTCCAAAGCCTTTTCGTGCGACCGAAAATTATAAAAATTAGGTTTTTCCAGAAATGTTACTATATCTTAAAAAGTAACATTTTCAGGTGTAGAACATACTTGATAAAAGTTGAAGTGGACTGATATGTGAATAAAATAGAACAATAAAATATAGGGTATTCCATTTGAAAAATTTTAGAAAATCAAGTTTGAACTGTCTTAAAATGATCGTATTATAAAAAATGCCCTGTACAAAATATCGATATTAGCTAATATAGGAGTATTTCCCTAACATTAGACGATAACTCTGTCAAATATGTTTGCTCCAAGTGTTAGTAGTTGAAAGTTAATACAACTTCTTCGAGGTCATGTTTTTCCCAAAATTCGAAGAATTTTCTACATAACTTGGCAGCCTCGCACTAAAATGTTAAACTGTTTATATTGCCATATATAGAATTTTCTCAAAAATCCATATGTTTAAAAATATATAGGGTGTTCCATTTAAAAATTGTAATATTTGGCGTGTGTCGTTTTTACTCATCGCCCTGTATGTTTCAAATGAATTTTTTACTTCAGGTTTTTTGATTCTGTGTAACTTTTATATAAACTTTTTTTCTGTATTATGAATAACAAGGGAGTTATTTTACTTTCTCACACTAATGGCTATAAAATACGCCTTTGACTTTCAAATGACTGGTGAATGGTGAAATGACTGGTGAAAATGAATGGTGATATGGTTGAAGTTGCAAAGATAATAGGAACTCAGAAAAAAACTTTGAACAGTTTTTCGTGAGCATTGCATGGTCCAAAATATCTGTAAAGTTATTTTAAAAACGTATTTTATGCACAACATGCTGGGTGTCCCACGAATTCAAATTTTATCAAGGTCAAAAGGTCACAAATTAAATTTATCGCACCCATAGGTTATTTTTTAAGGTATAACAAACATGCAAAAAAATTTTCATGAAAATCGGTTTAGTCTTGCACTGTCGGCAGAATTTTGTCCAAATGGGCACACTGTGCGTCGTGCCGGCGGAGCACGAAGCAAGTTGATTTTTTTTTAAGGATTCGTCTTCTTGTTTGGGCCTACTCGCTTCCTCGAGGACGTCTTACTGTAGCACCCCGTCGTAGGAACGGCGGCACTGGCTTGATTCTTCTAGGACTTCGGGTTGATGCCGGCGTCAGACCCAGTGCAAAGCTTCACGGTGTGTTGCTCCTATTCTCGCTTCTGTGTTGCCAGACAGCCGTAATTCCTTGCAGGCGCTCGGCAACGGCTGAAAAACTCCACTGATTAAATCCCTTCGTTGTGGCACGCGCTTGCCCGAATTATTAGTTTATAGTCCGCAATAAAAATTACAGACTTCGAATTCTTTTATTATAGGGGCTGACCTCCCAGAAGTCAAACCACCTGCACCTGCTTTCCCTTGTGAAGTTGTAGCGAATTTTTTTAAAGAATCAATTGTTGGCCGGTGCTCAGACAACTGACTCCTGGTATACCTCAGTCACGCGAATAAAATAGAAAAATAAAAATAACCGCGAACTGAGAGGCGGTTGATAAAAGTTGAAAGTCGACCGTCGTGCGTCCGCACTCTAACTCGACTTGACTTTCTCTGTCCAGAGCAAGTGTCCGAGGCGGAGTATTTTTTAAATGCTCGGTCGAAGGGACGCGCGACCCTTCGACCAATGGCATTCAAGCAAACCTCGCGAAATTTGCCCGCGGCGACATAACCCATCTAACCCCTAGAAACTACCCCTATCAAACCACAAGCAGGCTAACCCACCTGACCCTGGGAACAGCGAATTTAATGGCTTATTTTTCTTGAAATAATTAAATTTCACACCACAAGCTTTGGCTTCGCGCCCATGAAGACATTTGTTCAGGACGCCGAGATACGTAACATACAAAAGCCATTCAGCCAATTTAACCGGAAGCCATTTCCCATAAGGTTTGTGCGGGGTCCTTTATTTTTTAAATTCCCGTTCATTTCGAAAAATAAGAGCTCTCTTGTTGTTCATTACACGCAGGTGCCAACTTGTAATGTATTTAATTGTTGTTTTTAAATTATTAATAATTCTGTAAGTTTTTTAAACGGCGCACCCCTGAAGAAAAACTCAAGAGAGCTCTTATTTTTCGAATTGAACGGGGATTTCAAAAATAATTTTATTTGGGAAAAAAAAACATTGACGTACCATTTTTTTTTTCTTTAAAAATACCAAAGTCAGTGCTCGTACGCACGCCACTATTGGAGCTAAAAATTATATTTGTGTTGAAAAACATGCACCTTTGTTAACTATCACTACGTACTAAATATCACTGAAATATCTCGGTTTCGAAAATATTAATTATTAATTTCCTTAAATTTTAACACCCCGTATTTTCCCTACTGAACATTTTTGGGCCATAGTTTATAAAGCAAACTATCATTAATTTGCCATGTAGTATCACACTCTTAAATATTCGCATATCATTAAGAAACACCCATAAATAGACATATAGAAATAAATCTCATTTTCAAAGATTGACAATTTTAATTAGCATTTGTAATTCTTAAGAACTAAATAAATACCTACTTAATAATAATAAAATAAATATTTTTTATTTTGCCATACAGTTTATTTATTTATTTGCCATACGTAGATTTTTTAAAACAACGAATATTTAGTTGCAGCATTTAGCACTTTTTTGGCTGGGTCTAACGCTGCTAAATTTTGTATGACTAATTACACCTATTATTTGGACCAGAACATGCGAAAAAATTATTAGAATGATGTTTATGTGTCAGTTCGATGATGAAATGAAATGTAAATTCGTATTATCTGTTAAACATCACTTAAGACAATGTAAAAAATTGAAAGAATCTCAGGATGTGCCTACTTGCCAATTAAGAAATATTGAGTATAAAAAGCTTTGCAATGAAAATGATGTTTGTAGTCATCACAAATCAACAAAAATGAAGGTGTCGGTAAGGAAACGGTAGTGAGAAATAAGAAGTGAATTTTAATGAAAAATGTTTTTAGGTATTCTTACTATTCGTTTCTCTATTTTTGGCAACTAACTGTTTATCGTACCCGCAAAGAACAGATCCAGTCAGATATACAAATAACCATAGTGCCTCAAAAATTGTAAGCCACGAAAATAATATTGGATTTGGAAATTATAACTTTTCGTAAGTATAATAATTTTTGGCTAACATATAGACCTTAAGAAAATAAAACGACTTTTTTCCTATGGTCCACGTCTCTTGTTTGTTTTTAATCAGATTTTTGAGAGTGCAGACTATACGTCACTATTATTAGTATTTTATCATCAACAAATTTTGATTATTGGTTAAAGGTCGCTTGTTACTATCTCTCTCTCTCTAATTTACGTTACAACTTCATTAAAGTTAGACCTTTGTAGCATATTATATTATATATTATACTGTAAATGTTCATTTTAATTAAAAAGGCACTCATATAAAAATAGTGAACATTTGCCGTATTTGAGAAAAACTTAACTGATTGTCTCAAAGTTAACCAGTTTCTTAATGTAGATACATGGTATCCCGAAACAAATATTTCATATACTTCAGGGGTGGTCTCCTTCGATGGAAATAAAACGATTTAGATCAAGTCACCCTTGTATAGTTTTTAAAATTGTAGTAAGCATATCTTAAAAATTTATTTCATTTCTTGATGTGCCAAAAAATTGCTTGCTCTACATTGATCTATACTCATCCAAGGAAGCTGCTTTCGATTACTAGCCCGTTAAATATAATCATTTTGTGGAATATGTAACATAAAGTTTAAGTAAATTTTACTTCAAAATAGAGCAATCAATCGAATGATAAAAGTGCATCTTTTGATTTTAGAATGGAATAAAATGTGTAATTTATTAATTAAACAGTGAACATAGTATATTTCAGTCTTTTTTAATTTTAGCAGTGGGCAGAAAGCCCTGATATAATATTGCTGCTGCTGGTATATAGAAAAACTGATGTTTTTGGGAATGTAGTCAACAATGCTAAAGGTAGTATATTAAGAACTCTCTGTGTTTGTTGTGAAGCTTTCGGAAATGTTTATTTCCTTATACAAAAATAAAAAAAATCATTTTATAATTCGTTTAATGTTGTAATGACTGCAAAATTGTTTTAAATAATATGACTATACTTATGTTTTAATATTAAGTGAATGGACAACATTTGTACAATGTTTCTTGTATATCTCGGTTTTGATAGTTTTTTTATAATTCAATCTCATGTTTTATGACTTGAGAAAGAAAATAAACATTTCCGAAAGCTTGACAATAAACACAGTGTTAATATACTAGCCCTTAGCACTGTCGACTGCATTTGCAAATACATCACTGGTTTTTGTCTTAACTAGTCAGTCAAGATTACCTTTCTTGCTACATATACAGGGTGTTTGTAAATAAGTGCGAAATATTTTAAGGGTTGGTTGCCGAAGTTATTTTGTGAAATAAGTTCATATAAACGTATGTCGAAATATGCTTCGTTTCCGAGATACAGAGTGTTTAAATTTTAATTTTTTATTTATTTTTATTAATTATTTCAAAGAGATTTAAAAATATTGATTCGAAATTTAATGGTTGTATTGTATTTGGAAATATTGACAGCACCCTACCATATAATGTAGATCTGTAGAAATTAAAAATACACAACGTGCAATAAAATATGTTTTATTTTTTTTTCTCAAAAACGGTGCATCCTACGAAAAAAAGAGACCAATTTCATTCAGAATTGATGGCGGATTTTTTAAAAAAATATCAAAACCCCCAAACCACCCCCAATAAATGCACATTTATCCCTCCAAAGCATTTTTCAAATTTCGAGTCAACATCTTTAAAACTCTGAAATAATTAATAAAAATAAATAAAAAATTAAAATTTAAACACTGTATATCGGAAACAAAGCATATTTCAACCTACGTTTATTTGAACTTTTTTTCACTAAATATAACTTCGGCAACCACCCCCTAAAATATTTCGCACTTATTTACAAACACCCAGTATATAGGGTTCTTCACGGTAAATGGCCTATTAAACATTTCAGAGAACCAAAGACAATACGACTGAAATTTTGTTTACGGGGATTATCAGATATGTTCTCTTCAATGCAAATAATGCTCAATCAACCAAAATTTAAAATTATAACATTCTTTCAACTTCACTCCAAAGATAATAAAATTATCTGATAATGCATTTATTAGTTATTTGAAATTATTTATGTGCGCTATTCTTTAAAAACTATAGCAACATAAAAAGAAACAGAGAAAAATTTTAAGAAAACCAACCGAAATAATTTTATTAATTGTTTTGTTTCAGTTGCAAAATACCATAAAAAATCAAAATCAAAATCATAGAAATACAGCTAATAATTCCGATTCATAGTGAATATTCCATGGATATAAAATAAATTCAAAACACTTGATACTTGTAGAATACTGAATGACAGTACCAATATTTGTCTTTCAAGGCACATTTGATGATATTTTTAAGAAGGGAAGAAAACCGCAAATATCTGAGAAAATTGAAACTGTAACTCCTGCAATGCCTATATCGGTGAAAACAGAATTTGATTTTCTATAACATGGTGCAAGAAAATACAGCGTGTTCCATTTGAATTTAAAAAGTTTTGTCCATTTTAAGTTTTCAAAATACGACGTAAAAAATGGAACACTTAGTATAATTTTCTTAGGTAATTTTGATAGTAGAGCTAGTGCATATAATGTTCTTTCAATGTTCCGAAAAGCAAATGAAAGCTTCCAGAACGAAGAAAGATATAAGGAATTTTCAAAACAATTGCATCAGTCAAAATATTTATAAAATGTCGATTATCTCGAAAACGGTTAGGTACAGGGAAGCTTTAACATTTTTGACTTATTTTTATTCTATCTTGTCGATAATGCAATAATATATAGGGTGTCCCATTTAAAATAACGAAGTTGATAGCTACTTCCAGTATAACCGGAAGTGCTATGTTGATGGCATTATTTTCATTAAACAGAGCATATCTGATAACCCTCGTACACATTTCAGAGTCAAATTTCTCCGAAACTTTTAATAGGCCACTCACCGTGAAAAACCAGTATATACAGGATATTCCACCTAAGAGGGATGCTTCTGTAACTCTAACTGTAAAATTTATAAAAAAAATGGTCTTAATAAAAGTTGCCTGGAATCATGTGGGCTATGTAAAGAAAACATTTTTAGCTTTACAGGGTGTTCCATTTCGCGTGGGTGCTACATAACTTTGTTATTTTAAATGGAACAAACACCCTGTTTATATATATTATTTCATTTTTGAATTCATTGGGTAATATTAGGTTGAGTTTATTAAATGTACATGGTGTTTAAAACTTCCCGTTTTCGGGATATTCCGTTGATTTTGAAAAAAAAATCACGATTTCAGCTCTCTAAATGAGACTAGATAGCATCTAAACCGTAAGAGTTAGAATGCTGCAGTTTTCACAGTTCGTTTTGGCATAAATTACTATATCTTGTAATCTCTGTGCAAAACGTGTATCTTATTCAGACTCGGAAATACTGAGACCTACGTTTAATAATTTTACGAGTTGAAAAACTTTTTTTTTTCAAATGGAATGACCCATATTAATTGTCATGGGTAAATGCAAAATTGAATGCCCTTTCGACTGATATAAGGTTGTCCACACTTATCTTTAACAGTTTTCCAGAAAAATCAGGTTCTTTTCTAAAGTCCGAAAAAGTAGCTATGTAACAGCATCAAGAAGGCCGTGCAAAACCACTTTTCTCTCACATTTTATCAGGACTGGGACTATCAGTGTCAATATGGCATGTTTAAAAAGTTGTTTGACAAACAAAAGTAAACCACTAACAACAACTAAAACCAAACGCAAAACGAAACAAACTGAAACTGGGAACACAACAAGGAGAAGAATACTTAAACCGCTAATTGACATCAATTGCTCGAAGTTCCCTCCATTTTAATTAATACACAAAATTCGGTGTTTAAAAGACTGTTCGACATTGAAATAAAATGCTATTGTAATGCGCTGTAATTGTAATCTGCGGTTGTTGGTGTTGTAACGTAAACTTTGTTTTTTATAAACCCCCATAAAAAGAAGTCGCAACTTGTCATATCTGGACAACTTGAAGGCCAACTCACTTGTCCCCCGCGCCCAATCCATCTGTTGGGAAAAGATTCGTGTAAAAACTGACGAACTGCAGCGGTATTGTGAGGAGGAGCAATATCATTCTACGAAGTCTAGCTAAAGGAATCTTCTACAGTGTTTGTTAAAAAGTTTAAATAAACTGCTCCAGTTAGATGCTGGTCAAAAAAGAATGGTCCAATGACATGGGTTCCCAAAATTGCTCCCCACACGTTCAAACACCATCGTTTGCTATGAGTTGTCTGGAATTGGTGAGGATTTACTGGGTCATGATAATGGCAATTATGACTATTAACGAAACCATTTTTATGAAAAGTAGCCTCATCGGAGAACATGACCCGTTTAAAAAAATTATTGTCTTGATTTAACATCTCAGGTGCCCACTGACAAAACTCCAGTCTCCGCTGAAAGTCTACTTTTAGTAACTCTTGGTGTAATTGGAAGCGATAAGAATGTGCTGTGTTGTGCTTTTGTAAAATCCTATGTATCGACGTTGTACTAATACAATTGCAAGGCCTTCTTGACGCTGCGCTGTTATATAGCTACTTTTTCGGACTTTAGAAAATAACCTGATAAACTGTTAGAGATAAGTATGGACAACCATCAGTCGAAAGGGCATTCAATTTTACATTCACCCATGACAATTAATATGGGTCATTCCATTTGAAAAAAAAAGTTTTTCAACAAGTAATATTAATAAATGTAAGTCTGAGTATTTCCGAGTCTGAATGACGTACACGTTTTCACAGATGAAAATAAGAGATTTATGCCAAAATGAACTGTGAAAATTGCAGGTTTCTAACTCTTACGGTTTATCTAGCCTTATTTAGGGAGCTGAAATCGTGATTTTTTTCAAAAACAACTGATTATCTCGAAAACGATAAGTTTTAAACAACATGTACATTTAATAAACTCTACCTACTACTAACCAATAAATTCAAAAACGCAATAATATACAGAGTATTCCATTTAAAATAACAAAGTTATGTAGCGCCCACGCGAAGTGAATCATCATGTATGTATGTAAGTATACATATTACATTTGATAATATTACGTTGATTTTTCTTTTTTAGTCATAGAATAAGAAATAAATTACATAATATTAAAAAATAAAACTATGTAGGCAATCTAAAGGGTGTTTCCCTTTAAATTATTTAAAGTGAAAAGTAGGGCGGTGAAAAAAGGCTCTTCAGTATTCCTTATACTTGATTTGTTTCAAAAATTTTTATTCGTAAATATATTCAGAGTGGTATTTTTCATTAGGGTTACAGATTATTTTTGTAAAATTTTAGTTATGAAACCAGCGATGGATCCCATAGAGAAGAACAAGCAGAATTAAAAAATCCCGGAACTGAAAATGAAGCACTGGCAGTTCACGGATCTTATACTTATGTAGGAACTGACGGAGTGACATACAAGGTTACTTATGTTGCAGATGAAAATGGTTACAGAGCCTCTGGAGAACACATTCCTAAAAATTAATTTGTTATTCTTAAATCATGTTGTGGTTTTATCATATTAAAATATAAATGTTATATGCTTATCTCGTTTTTATTGTTTGAGTTTAAACAATTAACTGAATTCTTATTATTTTACTATCTACAATAATTAATTCTATGTGATTTAATATCATAGGATATATTCAATACGATCATTCTAATTTTTGTTATTGTAATTCCACATTGCGTAAAAAACTCAAAGACGCAAGGCGTTTGAGAAAACAACGAATGGAGTGGTCTACAACTATTTTACGTATTAATAAGTCGCAGCCATAAAAAACCGTCTAACTTTTGTATTTTACATACAGCAAGTTAATTTAATTTTTTGTTTATTCTTAATATAATGTCATCTACAACATCGAACAGTATACACAATGAATTATTATTTGTTTTCCATCTGGCAATTGCTTATTTTCGCGAATGTGACGATAAGCATACAATACCTCTATAACTGCTATAGATACAGATTTAACACTGGTAGAGATTAATATTTTTTAATATAATTTCTGTTTGGATATTGCTACACCTAAATACCTACACCCATACGTTTCATACATATTTTTTATTTGGCTTGATTTGAAGAAGCCCAGTTAATTAAACTGCTATCGGATGGTATTATTTCGGTGTAAAATAACACATAATAACAAATTATTTCGGCAATTTGGAACAAACCGGATGTTTTCATTTTATTTTATCATTTTGTTAAGATGTTCATAATTCATTAAGTTTTATGATAAAACAAGAAACACGAAAAGACTGATCTGTAAAAAAATAATTGTTTTTAATGGATAAATTCATTATAAAATATACTCTCTGAACATAATTATTGAGCAGTCAATATATAAAATATAAAAATTATTAACAATTAATTAGTTTCAAGTTGCTGACGATGGATGAAACTTCTTTTTATATAACCTTCACATTTCATGTAAACATACAAATATACAGGGTCGGAAAGTCCCCATGGCTCATCGGCCGTTACGTGAGAGCGATAAAGAAAGTCATAGAAATTCGTGTGATAGAGAAAGATGGCTATAATGAAAGCGTCTAATAGTCACCGCCCATTTCGCCCTTCCACAAATAAGATCCACTTCTTAAAAGTTCTGCTCTCCTGATTTTCGGCTTTAGCGTCATTATTGTATATATATTGAATTATAGTTTTCTAAAGTTTTATCACTTTTTGTTAATAATTGACATTTTTACAGCATCTTTAAAAAATTGACGTTTTATACCGTTTTTTCAATATCGCGGCTTTGTTATTGCAAATTTTGTAATCGGACCACCGCCATTTTGTAACTATTTTTATTACGAACAAAATTATGTCCTAAGCATTTTTTCGTACAAAGTCATCCTGCTGAATTATTTAAAGAAAACTACTAAAAAAAAATTTTCACAATTANTATATATATTATTATATAAGATCATCGAATTGAGGTAAACCAAATTACTGCTGCTTTTCCATTTCATTATAAAGTGCTCTCTTTTTAATTTGTGCATTTTAGGGCTCAAGCAAATTTTGTCCAGTAATTTATGTGATTGTCTCTAGCTACCTATGATGACCCTGAATTCATTAAACTTAATAATACTGAGGTTTCATTATGTGTAATTTATTTATTCACAAAAAAAAACAACAAATCAAACATAAAACAATCAATTTTATTCAGTCTGATGATTGATTTACCTAATACTGAGGTTGTGCATAATTTTGAGCATGCTCATAGTCAGCTTGCTGCTCATAATCAACTTGTTGTTCGTACTCAATTTGTTGTTCGTTGTCTTGGTTATGAGTGTTAATTATTTTCTGTATTTCTTCTGGAATAGAAGGTGGAGTGGGTAAATGTGCTCCTTGGGGTTGGAAACCATTCTCGTCAGCGACATAGCTAAGGGTAATAGGATGGCCGTGTTCATCGTGGTATGTTATCGAACCCTGCTGAACTAGAGTTTCATGTTTTTTATCACCTTTGTTCTTAATATAGCCTGATTCTTGAGCGTGAATTCCATTACCGGTTTCATAACTGAAAGACAAAGTTATTAAGAGAAAAGGATATTTAAAATAATTAACAAAATGTATTTACAATAGGAAGTTTTAGTTTCTCGTGATTTCAAAGTAATACTTAATAGAAACAGTTGAAACATGCATTTCGGAGACAAAAATAAAACTTGCGTTATTTAAATAGTTTGAGTTTCTTCTGAAGAAATGATCGATGTACCTCATGAAATGTCAGGTCTACACTGACTATACCGACGATGCGCCAACAAACCTAGAAATTGTTCAACCACCGTGTCTCGAAAATGATTCGAATTAAGAAAATAGTGAAATATACAATTTTAAACATCCCCATGTTTCATATAAAATTTCTTCATCCTGGCTTTCCTTCAAAAATTACAGCCACTCTTAGATGGATGCAGAAGTAAGTAGGTACCTATATACACAATATACAGGATACAAGCCTGTAACTTCTTTATTTTTTGGCCGATTAATTTCTTTTTACAATGTATGGTAAAAAAAACTCTATCTAACACATCATGAAGTGCTCGTCTAAAGGTGTATCGAATTTTTTGAAACTTGGCCATAAGAATAAGTAATCTGTTTTTTTTTTGAAAAAAAAACACTATTACCAATTAGCTGTTTTAAAGTCCAAAAACGCGCCCTAGTTGGCCGCGGATTGCATTAATAAAATCACAGTTAGATAGTTTTTTTTATCCTACATCCTAATTTTTTTTTTTAAATCGGCTACAAAATAAAGAAGTTACAAGCTTATATTAAATTTAAGCGCGACATCATGAAGTGCTAGCCTGAAGATATATCGAATTTGATGAAACTTGGTGATAAGACGCTGATCTGTTTTTTGGAAAAAAAATAGCTAATACCAATTAGCTGTTTTGACGTCAAAAAACGCGTCCTAGTTGGCCGTGTATTCTTTAATAAAAATAGCAATATCACAGTTAGATGGAGTTTATTTTTACTCTACATATAAGAAAAATTTTTGAAATCGGCCAAAAATAATTAAGTTACAGTCTTGTATCACATTTAAGCGCAGCACCCTGTATATTTCTAACGGTTGTTATACCGTCATATTACATATATGAGAAAAACTGAGTTATCAGGTTGAACTGCATCTGAAATTGTTTAAGTCTCGACTATTCGATTCCTGTTTTGGACCTAGTTTCAAGAGTTTAAAATTAATTAAATTTTGCAGGAAAAAGGAAGGGATGACCGAGGTCACACCTCGGATCGAACTGTCGGGTATCTCTAAGGAGCATGTTAGATAGCCTGTGAGAGCCTCGATCTACCTACTCTCCAAACCGTACTGCCAATCGTCTCCAAGCCCTCAATCTGCCTACTCCTTGCAGAGATCTCAAGAGAGAAAACTAAAATGTATCAAATTAATTTAAATCAAATCTAAAAATGTTCCTAAAACCAATCTAAATTAATATGCTTTCAGGCACCAGCATATAGGTATAGTAATAATACAAATTTTATTAAAAAAAAAGGCCAAACCCAAGACACCCACATATCATTTGCGAAGGAATTCGATGCGCAGAACACGATCCTGCAATCAAAATTCATGACTTGCCTATGAATTTCGGAAAAAATGAAATTTTTGGGTGAAAGCGCCCAAATATGGATCCAAACTGATTTTTTCCTAAATTTTGTCCAAATATATCAGTTTTGTAGTATTTTAAGACGCTGACACGATGTCACTACTAAAATTTACCCATGACCTTTATATTTCTCAGAAAAACCACTATTTGTGTGAAAAGTGGCTCAAATATGGATCAAAATAGATTTTTTCCTAAATTTTGTCGAAACATCATTTTTATAATATTTTAAAGAACTGAACACGATGCCACTACTAAAATTTACCCATGGCCTTTATATTTCTCAGGAAAACCACTATTTGGGTGAAAACTGGCCCAAATATGGATCAAAATAGATATTTTCCAAAATTTTGTCGAAACATCATTTTTATAATATTTTGAAGAGCTGAACACGATGCTACTACTAAAATTTACCCTAGGCCTTTATATTTCTCAGAAAAAACACTATTTGTGTGAAAACTGGCCCAAATATGGATCAAAATAGATTTTTTCCTAAATTTTGTCGAAACATCATTTTTATAATATTTTGAAGAGCTGAACACGATGCCACTACTAAAAGTTATCCACGACCTTTATATTTCTCAGAAAATTCACTATTTGGGTGAAAACTGCACCAAATATGGGGCAAAACTGATTTTTTTTTTTTTCAATTTTGTCCAAATATGTCATTTTCGTGGTATTTTGAGGCGCTGAACATGATGCGATCAGTAAAATTTACCCATGCCTCGATATTTCTCAGAAAGTCCACTATTTGGTTGAAAACTGGCCAAAATACAATACAAATATATTTGAACCAAATTTAGGGAAAAAATCAGTTTTAACCCACATTTGGGCCAGTTTTCACCCAAATAGTGGATTTTCTGAGAAATTTAATTATGAAAAGTAATTAAACTAGCTCGCCAAACTTTAATGTCGGATTCTATATCACAAATGAACAAAAAAAAAGTTGCCTATTTATCTGGAAACGTTTTGTTTTCGATATACCGGGTGTGCAAAATTAATGAAATCATGTAGGTATGTAGGTGGTACAAATAATTACTATTTTTCGTTAAATAACGTGAAGTAATCACGTTTTTAATAATTATTATTATTGTTATTTCAAATATAATTTGATGTTTTCACACTTTAAGTAACAATTATTATTATTATTATTATTATTATTATTATTATTATTATTATTGTTATTGTTATTGTTATTGTTATTGTTATTGTTATTGTTATTGTTATTGTTATTGTTATTGTTATTGTTATTGTTATTGTTATTGTTATTGTTATTGTTATTGTTATTGTTATTGTTATTGTTATTGTTATTGTTATTGTTATTGTTATTGTTATTGTTATTGTTATTGTTATTGTTATTGTTATTGTTATTGTTATTGTTATTGTTATTGTTATTGTTATTGTTATTGTTATTGTTATTGTTATTGTTATTGTTATTGTTATTGTTATTGTTATTGTTATTGTTATTGTTATTGTTATTGTTATTGTTATTGTTATTGTTATTGTTATTGTTATTGTTATTGTTATTGTTATTGTTATTGTTATTGTTATTGTTATTGTTATTGTTATTGTTATTGTTATTGTTATTGTTATTGTTATTGTTATTGTTATTGTTATTGTTATTGTTATTGTTATTGTTATTGTTATTGTTATTGTTATTGTTATTGTTATTGTTATTGTTATTGTTATTGTTATTGTTATTGTTATTGTTATTGTTATTGTTATTGTTATTGTTATTGTTATTGTTATTGTTATTGTTATTGTTATTGTTATTGTTATTGTTATTGTTATTGTTATTGTTATTGTTATTGTTATTGTTATTGTTATTGTTATTGTTATTGTTATTGTTATTGTTATTGTTATTGTTATTGTTATTGTTATTGTTATTGTTATT